GATCAGTTATAAAATCGATTTATTTGAAAAAACCACAATAGTTTCATTTTTTAAGAAAGAAATCTTTCCTACCAACGAACAACATATGTATATAATGATAAAGATGTTAACGCAGTATGGTAACTAAGAATTTTCTAACTAAACATTTTCGTTTTTAATGCATACAAATCAGACGAAACATTTGATTGTATCATACGAAACGATAGAGGTGACTATTCTTCACGACATTTTATGATCGAAATTCATCTGATTTACGAAAGTATTCAGATAGAATTTTAGTCAAGTCGGGCGTGGGTAAGGATGTAGGTGTAGACATGAATCTTCTTTTCACTCTTATACTCATCCCATCCTATTCAATGTTCTTTTATAGCATGATTTGTTGTTCATACTACAACTAAACATGATTCATAAAATATTTCAGTAGTCAACCTGAATTAACATGCAAATGATGAAAATAAATCTTTTCTTAAAATCTACATTTGAACTGAGAATAGTAAAGTTTAATATGTATGAACCAGTTGAATTTCTTCAGTTATGATACATGTTTTCAGGATATGTCTTTTCTGGGATTGTTAGTAAAAGTAAGGAATGATGAAAGGTCAAATGCACATTTAAGTGTTGCTGTTTTTTTTTTCTTTTCTCCAACAACCATTGAACGTTTTGTGTAGCATTCGTCCAGGCCATGACTTCTTGAAACAATTCATATAGCTTGGTGATGGATAGATATAAATGGCAAATGTCATTGCTTGTGGTAGATAAGTAAGAATACCAAAAGCTACATGTCGACGAAGTATTGATAAATCTCGAATATCTTCACATCCATCTTTGAGATGAAGAATCAAAATAGGTGTATTTGAGAGAATAATAAAAAATGCTGGAACAAAGAAATGTTTCCGCTTTAAACATTCTTCCAAGAAGATTCGTATATAGTCATGACGATTAAATACAAAACTAACTCGTTCTGTTATACTAATAAGAATGCAAAAACTAGCAATAAAATGAATTGTAGTTGGAATAATAAATTGAAAGATAAAATAAATTTTATCGAGGTACTCAAATTGTAATGGATGAATATATTTGCACAGATATGAACCTGACCAATTTGGATTAGGTAATGGACGTCGATAAATAAAAACATTAATGCGTAAACTAAACGCTGCAAGAAAGACAATAATCGATAAAATGACTGATAGCCAACGAGATCGATACAAATCCAAATTGAAACATTCAAGAAGAACAAATTCAATAGCTAACAAAGTGCCTATTCCCATACAAAAATTACCCATCGCCTTCTCAATAACCGGTAAAATGTTACATGCAATATAACGATACACATAAGCTTCTGTCAAATAATCAAACCATAATGTCGTCATCAGTCGAAGTTGCATAGCTATCACTGTTATTATACTTGCCAAACTGAACAAGATTTGATAAACACCACAATTACTTTGACGAATTTCATATCTCATAAGTGTTTGAAAACTGAGGATGTTATTGATTAATGATAGAACAAGAATGAATGCAATCACAAATACATAGATAAATTTTGGCCAATTAAAACCATTCATAGTATCTGCTTGTTGAATATCCCAAAATATAAGTGCCATAAGTGAGTTTTGTCGCGCATTAACACTTCTCTCGCAGAATGAGCCGATAAAACATGTAGCACAAATACATGTATTATTGATCGAACAAACACCATTATTCAAACAATTATTGCTACAATTCATAGTCCTCTCGTTTAGATGGTCAATCATTGAAATAAAAACCAATGTCAAAAATAGACATCATCAAATACTGTCATTTCTGTTTCTTAACTATCCTTCTATTTCGTTCTTACGACAAAATCAGGTTTTTTTCTATGTCAGCATCTATATTTGAAGAATGAATTACGTTTAAGCAATAGTACGAGTGATTATTAAGAGGAAGTGCATGACTATGTAAATTTGATAGGTTTCGATGGATTTGGCAGAACGAAAAAATATCGAAAAAGTACATCGAAGTAGGTTTAGTGGAAAAAAGAAACTTCGGTCATATAAAAATATCGAGTGTGAGCTGTGGAATAAGTGAATATAAGTCTGAATGTGAGTGTAGATTTTCCCTTCACCCGTAATTACGCCTACATCCACCCACACCCTTTGTCTTCGACTATCTCTGATACAATTGTTTTGTTCAAGGATAGGATTAGTCATCATACATCAGCTTTTTATAATTCACTTGATATGGTTATGTTCACTGAGTCAAGTTTCAAAGTAAAATTATGAAAAAATAATAAAAATAAAAAGTATATAGTCATACATTTCAATTAATAAAGTTGAATAAGCTCCTGATATTTTTTTCCTTCTATGTTTTTACCTCAGATGTTACAGTTTTTCATCAACTTTCTCCGAATGTCTTCAAATTCTCGAGAGACCTCCTAATTTTCGATCTCACGAGGGGGTAATTTATTGGATCTAACTTTCCACACAATGGTGTATGTGAGGTGGTCGAGGAAAATATAGTTTAACACAAGAAAAAGTACTTTTCCTATCGGTACAAGTCATTGAAATAATGAAATCATTTTGTACTATATTAAAAAAAAATCGAAAAATGACAATTTTTCTACTAGCTCATTGAGGCCCTTTTTCATTGTGTCCGTCATAATTCAGCAAGAAATAATGAGGCCAAATTCATATTTTGAATCTAATACTATTTGTAGCACGTCTTTATAATAAGATGAAGAAATCCAAAATCAAATAAATTTTCTCTAGCCATGTTGTCCAGTATTCCGGTGAACTTTGTCGTAGTATGCTCAAAACGGAAGCACTTTTATCGATGAATCGAAGTGTAAATGATGTATTTCAAATCTGACTGTATATAATTTTAATCCGACTTTGGGTCTTTGATGAATTAAGTTAAAATGAAGTGTTTTTTTAAATTTCCTAAAAAAGTGCCAATGCTAAGCAAATAGCACATCAGTACAGGCTATATTGGTTAGTGCTCCAAACTTACATAGCTACACTTTCATTATGCTAATATCAAATATGCAAAAATGAAGATTATCTAATACCTGATAAATTGCCTTGTATTATAGTTAATTATCAGAGAAGCGCTCTTTCTTACTTATTTTTTTTTGCATGTTAAATAGAATATTTTTTCTTTATTTTGACTAGCTTCCTAAGGTATCTTGGTCCTGCTATTGTTAGTTGGTGAGTTGTTTTTGTGCTATTATGGCGTTTTCTTTAATTTATTATCATTGTAATTTTTTTAAACTTTTATTTGATTCCTGATTCTTGATAAAGACAATAGATCTTAGATTGATTATTGACGAAAGTTAGAACTAGCCAGAGATCTCGGTTATTCAAAGAATGAACGAGCAGTTTTTCGAAGGAGCAACAATCATAGGTCAACTAATCATTGTTTAAGATTCAAGCATAGATATTATGAATTCGTTTGGGGTGTGGGTATGGAATGAGTGTGCCTGCTGTTGTAATTCTTCTCCACATCGTGAACCACGCAATGAAAGTCGTATCCACAATTACGCCTACCCACACATCACAAACGCGCCATCTACACGTTACATCCACACCGATCCACATCTTACACTTACTAATGTCCATTTCAGAGTTAAGTGACCGTGAGCATTTTTTGAATAACTTTTGATAGGAACGAGATAGAGATCTGCGATTTTCACCGTTGGAAAGAGCAAATGAAGACACATCGAATTATATATAGAAAGATTTCTTTAACTACTTTCCTAAAGGTTTAACCAAAATTTTTCAAAGAATTGCATTTTTCTCCTACGTTAAAAAAGTGGCTTTTCTATCAAAATACTACAAAAATTTACATTTTTCGATTATTTCGTTGAAAAAAATGATGTGGTAAATTGTGTTCCGATGGTTTGAATATCATAATGGTAGTAGTTATGAACAGAGTCTTGATATAATATTGTAGCCCTTCCTTCGGCAATTCTAGCGCACTCCTGAAAATCAATAAATTAATATCATGACCATGAGAAACACGCTGTTTTTCTTGAAGCTTTATGTAAAACCTATAGAAAAGTAACTAGAAAATCTTTCTATATATGATTCGATGTGTCTTCATCTGCTCTTTCCGAGGGTGAAAACCACAGATCTCTATCTCGTTCCTCTCAAAAGTTATTCAAAAAATACCCACGGCCATTTAACTCGGAAATGGACATTAGAAGTAATTTTAAATATGCCGAAACAGTTCAAAATAGTTTTCGTCTTTGCCTACACTATTTTCGCTAGAATCGTCTTTATTTTTTCTTTTTCTCTTGGGTTATAAAATAGACCATCACAATTTTTCTATGATATTTCATGAGTTTCCTTTTCAATGAGGCTGGTAAATACCGAGCTACTAATATCATATCAGTGTTTAACAGAAACAAACAAGACCAATAATCACAATATCTAGCATGTGCGATTGTGATCAATTATGTAACTTTGGAGTCGTTTATAGAAAAGCTTCCCTTCGCCACAAAATCCATATTATATTCGGTTTGAGGGGAAATATCGAAGAAGGAACCTTTTGATTCAGAAAGAATACTGAAGCACTTTTGAAGAATATCTATCGTCGTATGGAGTGTATGTATGATTGTGATTCACTGACAAAAGAGTGTGAAAATATGGAGTTCTAAAGGAATTCAAAGTATTACTGAAAAGCAAAGTGCTAAAGGAGTGCTCTTGTCTAACAGGTGTTTCGTTCAACAAATTCATCAACGAAAACTAAATAAAGAAAATAACGATGAAGGAACTCTTGAGTCAAATCTTACGACTCCGAACTCCGAACGAACAATACCATCTAGCGAAGTATTAACAACCAATACACCAAGCAATGATGATCTCATTCCTAATCCCATGTATCGTACCAATAATATGAGCAATATTTCTCCGTCGAACGTGGAAATCAGATTGTCTGTTTCCAATTGTTCGGAACCAATAAGCCCAATAACTGATATCGAAGAGTATAGAGCTTTATCAGCAGTTTCTGTTAAAACCATGAATAGTGCTACTATGCAACAATTCAATGGCTTTGAAAAACTACATGTTACTGGACCTTTTGATATTGAACCAGAAACTCAAATCGTTTACAGTATAGATGGCGATATTGAGCAAAGTTCTATAGTAACAATACGTCGAATGCCAGAATCGATGCGACCAAGAGAGAACCCTTTAATCGAACCTCCAGCAGACAATTTAACTGTGACACCACCCGATTCATCGGCATTTGTTCAATTCAAGCTCATGAAAATACTAAAACCTCAATCAGATATCAATAAACATATTCCAGAAACAAGTATTTGTGACGTCACCACAATTAATTTGGATAAAACTTTGGTCGAAATGCAACAGCGGACACATAATTCAAACATTGATTATCCTGCCATAAATATCAACGTAGCTAATGACAATGAGCAACAATGGTAGGGTTTTCAAGAAAGTCTACAAGTTATTCATCTCATCTTTCATAAACTTAAACGTTTAGCTTAATCATTTAACCATGCAACTTATCTTAACTTCTATAGTATTTATCTGTGATATTTCTTTTCTTATTCATTTATAAAAAAAAAAGAAGTTTTCTTAATATTACCATGCTTGGAAACTTTCAGATTATGATTCTAACACTGCATTATAGTAACGCGATAATCTCAAAGTCTATTGAACAGAAAGAACAGTTGAAAAATAGATGTTAATGAATGGAGAGAATATTCGCCTAGCAGAATAAAATAAAACATTGATTCATATCTTTACAAAGAATAATATGATTTTCTTTAAACAAAATTTGATCAAAAATGCTTCGAAAAATTTATTCTGAATATCAAGTGTTGTTTTGATGAAATTTCATAATTTATTTTCAAGTATTGATAATCAATGGGCGCTGCATCAAAATCAAAGATGTTCACACCAATACAAAGTTGCCCAAATCCTATCTGTTGTTTCTTTTTTAATAAAAATATTTTGTTTTATCCTTATTTCGTTTAAAATAAACTTGGTGTTCAAAACACGTCTCGTTCGTCATAAATTTTGTTTGGTGGCCCTTCGATAAAAATTTCGCTTTATTTTCTTTATTCTTTGAGAATAACGTTTGAAAGCATTAAATATATAAGAAAAAAGACAGAAGTATTGTTCTTAGTTAGAAATAATATTTGATTTAAAGACAAACGCAGAATCGAATACTGCAGACTTTACATATACATATATGGCTTGCCATGACTGATGATTACGAGAATGGATGAAAGAAAAAAGTCATTAAAAACGAAGAGAGAAGAAGAAAAATGAAAAAGAAACAAAAACAAAGTTGTTTTTATCGATGTAGCGTCTCAGTTCATATTAAAAAATGTTTACTTTCTATTTGAAATATTGGTAGTTCTCCATTAGAGAATTTAAAATGATTTATCTACGTTAAAGAAGAAAAGACAATCGAAAGACTGATGATCTTGCCAAAAAAAGGTAATGTGAAAAAATGATTACTTACTAACGAACAATCCCGCCTGATCTCAAGAACATTCTTGCTATCAATGAACTGTGAAAAAAACATTTTAATATAAAAGAAAGGCCTAAGGCATTGATTGATATCCATAAATGTGAATCAATCCGTAAGTAATCGAATAATTTGAATTTATTGTAAAGATATGAGTGGATGTTTACGGTGTGAGTCGTTGTTAAAAAGAAATCAGTGAAGCTGACTCATGACTACACTCACACACTATTTGTCGTGTCTATAAAAGGAAGTAACATGATAAATTTCCAGCAATATGATACTTTCTTATAGATTTGTAATATGAGTATTGTATTATCTTTGAAAATAAAAAGGTGAATGTTAACGTGCTGACGATCTTGCCTATTCTTTATTTTTCGAAAAAGGATTAAATCAGTCCGACAAAAGTGTTTAAATTTATTTTTATTTTAAATTATAACTTATGGATATATTCTCTTCATCCGGTTAATTCCTTCGTCTAGTCGCTTTTGAAATTTTAGATTGTAATCGAATTCGAAGCAAAAATTTACAGAAAAAATGAATAATTATTTCCCTTGATTAGTGTGTCTTTTTAGAAAAAAAAACGAACATGACTGCATGTTCTAATTTTGTGCAACATGAATGGCGAAATGCGATATGTCGTGAATGTTTCCAAAAGAAAGAACTTCATGAGGCAAGAGACAAGTCTTTTATTGATGTTCCTCAATCGATCGTACGATCAGGTATGTCTAATGTTTGAAAGTTGTGTTTGTTTGATCCTCACAAGACTAGGAATCGATGTTGAGTAGAACTATCATATTAACTCTACTTTAGTCAGTGTGTTCAATACTCCTATTGTAGGAAGCTGAAAACTACGAATTTACTTCATTTGAGTTAGATACTAAAAATATATAGGATTTATTTTGTTATTCTACATAATAGCTAATTTCATTTTTGGTGGATTAGAAAGGAAACATCAGTATAAATATTTTAAATATGAACTTTTCGTATATTTCCTTCAAAAAAAAATATATCCTAGTAGAAAATGAATACGAAACAGATGCAATTATTTTCAACAAATTATTATTATATAGCAAGAAATGTTTCATCCAATGATTAGATCATATTACTACAATAAGGTCTATATATGTGTTTGAAAAATGGGATAAGTGAACTAGGTGTATATTTACACTTAATATATATTTATTGAAATTCTGAATGAATGTTCAATTATAACCAAAATCTTTCTCATTTTTGTAGGAAGCAAAACATCATTGAACAGTGCACAATCTGACAATCAGTCTACAAGTAGTCCTATAAATTATCTCGTCTTTCGTTTCGAGAGCATAACTTCGATTGAGCATGAACAAGAAAAAGACGAAAATATAAAAGTAAATGACCATTTCAATGGAACCAGTGCTACTGAACTTTTAAAGCCGAAAATTCACAAGATTGAGAAAGATTTACTTAAAAATTATTTGAAACCTGAGGTACATCATGCCATAGAATTGCTCGAGTTTAACATCGTTATAATTGGTTCGCCACGTGTCGGCAAAAGTGAACTTATCAACGCATTATGTGGAGGTAAAAAACTAGCAGAAACAAGTCCAAGCTTGACTTCGTGTACAAAAAAAGTCAAAAAATATGTGTTAGAAGCAGATCAAACCAAAGCATCTGATATCACGCCGTCTAATGTCAATTTTTATGATACACCAGGTCTCGAATCATGGAGTAATGAAGCAGGAGAAAAGGGCATGCTTGAATTAATCAATGAAACAAATCCAGTTTGTGTCATTTTTTGTGCTTCTCCGGGTTCATTTGCTGATTTATCTCAACTTCGTCCTGTTTTACTGTACTGTAAAGATAACAGTATCTTTTGTGCACTTGTATGTACTAATATGTGGTCTAGTAATAAACGGCAAAAAGTAATCGAAGAATTTCAAAATGAACTCTCAATTTTCGGACCACAAAATGATATGTATTCGGATCAAATTCATTCTAATATTCCACACAAAATATCGTTTTTTGGTACAGGTGCTCTTTGTACGATGGTGAATTCAGTTGAATATTTCGATCCAGAAATGTCATCAAAAAAACAGCCAGTACAAGGAATTGATGAACTCATTCATGGCATCATGCAATCATTAGATGATCAGAAATTACTTGGTTGGTGTAACGCTGTACTTCATCGACGTAGCTATTGGACAATAGTTAGTCAAAAAATGGTCGGTTTCTTCTCTTTGGGATTAACAAAATTACGACGTTACAAATTTTTCTTGCGTTTGACAACAAAACGAACTTCTACATAGATTAATCTTGAGCCAATGTTCAAGCTATCATAGAAAATACTAGACCAATGTTTAGTTATGTGTTAACATCCTTCAATGAAAATCTGTTTCTTAAATAATATTTATTTGTTTTCAAAACGAAATACTTGAATACATATTTTTTTTTAGATAAGTGTTTTCAAATCATGACAAAAGATTTTAATATTATCGTTTGTGGTTCACCGCGTGTTGGTAAGAGTACTCTTATAAATGCTATTTGTGGTAAAGAAGTAGCCAAAACAAGCAATAGCTTAAAGTCATGTACGAATAAACTTGAGAAATATTTATACAAAGGAAAGCAAGCAGCAAGCGATGGAGTTTCACCGCCGATTGAATATTCCATCACCTTTTGAGACACACCCGGCGTCAAATCATGGTTTGAAAACGATGTTCGAAAACATTTTTTGACTCTTATACATGAAAGTAAACCAGTTTGCATGATCTATTGTGCGTCGCCTGGTTCATTTCTTCGGTTAGAACAATTACAATGGCTTGTTGATACATGTATTCAATCAAAGATTTTCTGTGCACTTGTCTGTACTAACAAATAGTCTGGAGGCTCTCAGAAACGTACAGAAGTTATGGAAAATTGCCAATCGCTCTTAGACCAGCATTATACTATAATAAAAGATGAAGCGAATGTTAAATATTTTGCTAACGTAGCTTTATGTACAGCAGTGAATAGCATTGTCTATGAAGATCAAGAAATGGGTATCAAGAAAGAAGCCGAAGGTATTAATGAACTTATTTTTGGCGTGATGACTTCATTAAAAGATCATGATCTTGCCGGATGGTGTTTAACTGTTGCTGAAAACAATAAGTTTTGGACAGATATGAAGATAAAAGTTGAAGAATTCTTTCGAGCATCTCGACCATTTATACGGTTTTGTTGCAAGGAAGTCGGTAGGCAGATGGTATCATCTTTGATTGACTTTATCTTGAACACAGCATCTGAAGAAATGTAAAATCATCAATGAACTGTTATTAGCATGTATTCTCAATTTGAATATATATTTTCAGTATTATTTTATGATTTCTTGTTTGAAAATTTTCACAATGAACTTGAATAAAGGTGTCCACTTTTGGAAAGTTTTCAGTTTCTTTTGTAGTAATCATTTCTACAGTTACTGAAGTAAATCAATCCTCCTTTCTCCATATTATTTTGTAAAGAAATGGTGTACGGGTGGGTGTCTGCTTTTCCCATACATCCAAACCCAACTGTATACAGATATTTTCTAGCACGTCAGAAAAATGTTCTTTTTTCAACAACTACGAAAACTTTATGATTGTCAATGCAAACTAATATCAAAACTTTATATATAAATTTTGGTTCTACTCGTAGATATATGATTGAAAGTAATATATAACTGATTTTAGTATGACTTCTAGGTTGACATATGTTGAACATAAGTGTTTTTTCATTTTTACTAATATGTTCTAGACAAGAATTTATTAGGAAATGAAAATCTCACTGAAACAAATATATTTCTTTGTAGCTCAGGCCGTGTAGAGAAAAGCACTCTTATCTATGCAATCGATCAACAAAATCTAGCCAAGACAAATACTGGTCTCAAGTGTTGTACAATAAGTTTGAATTGTCATACTATGGAATATTCTGATGAGTAATCATTTTATAGAACTATCTGTTGGAATACATCTGGTAACGAATCTCGGCATAAACTTGGTTTACATCATCATATAGCTTTCTTAATGAAACATGCTCATCCGATTTGGGTAATTTATTGTGCGTCGTCGAACTTAATTGACAAATTACAACAAGCCAAGTTGTTATTGTCAGAATGTCATCGTCAAAATATATTTTGACCTGCTGTCTGTACCAATATGTGTGCTGGTCGAAATAGTAGAGATGTCTTCCGAGTCCGTCGATGTATTCATCAAATAATCAATTGAATGATAAGTATTTCCTTCTTCATTATTCTCATTTAGATTCACAAAAAGAAAATCAGCTAAAATTCTCTTTAGTATCTTTTGAAGTCACTAGTACTCACACTATGATATCAACAGATCAAGATCAAACAATTATTATTGTCAAGTAGGTTATATGAATTTGACCATTGACCGAAATAAAATTGATGCCTTTCTTAGATTTGATAAGATTGAACAAGTTGACGCAATATACGATATTTGACAATTGATCAAACGAATTGGTATAGAATGCACATCTGTGACTAAATCATTCTTTTAATTCAATACAGTTTTTTTCGATAAAGACAAAGTACATGTTTGTTCATAGCTAGTTTATGTCGAATGAAGAAAATTGCTGGCCACTTCATAATAAGAATGGATATATTCTTACAAACAGGATTGAAATGAAAGCGGATGACTGTGTGGAGATAGATATAGAGAATAATCGTACTCTTATATCCACTGCTTTTGTACTCAATTTTTATCATTGACTTTAAAAAAGGAATCATAAAAGTTGAAAGAAACGGTACAACAGCAAATTGAACATTAATTGAAAACTACATCTTTCCAATGGCTGAGTTTTTTCAATCTTAAACAAGTATTCGTAAGAATCAAAAATCAATTTTCGCCTAATCTCGAGCTCAAATTTAATCGATACCTGCACACGCTTACATCATACATCCGCAAGCAAATGAGGTAAATTCCAGGTTGTTTCGTTAGTATTTTATTTTCCTCTTTTGATTATCATATTTAAATAAGAATATATTCAAAACAACAAAATATGAGTAGAATATAAAGCAAATATACAGTTATTATTTCCTAATGATAATAAAGAAAGACATTCGATGAGACTAATCTACTTGTTATTGAACTATTTTACATTTAATTAGTCTTATATTGTTTTTTTTAATAATTTTTCAATATATGCGATCTGTACGGAGAAGACACGAGTGCATTGCATATAAGAGATGAGTTATTCGTAAAGGATCTACCTATTAGAATCTCGAAACAAATTCAAGAACATTGTCATATTTTATGAAACGTGCAAAGCGTTTTAAGAAAATCGCCTGTATGATTTTATCAAAGATAATGACATAATCAGTTCATCTTATGGTGGTGTTTACAAATTCGTTTACCTTATCACAAGAGTTTTAATCGCCATATGATTGTGTTTAGAATGATACAATTCGAAAAATGTACCTAGAGACTATTCTTTGTACTCTACTATAACGTATATCTATTGTCGGTATCACAAGATTGCTCGTTAGCTGAATAGTATACAAAAGATTGTGAATGATTTCTTTCTCATTCATAAACATTGAATGGATTTTTTTCAAAAGAATCGTTGAATCTTGTTCAGAAAATATCGTCTAACGTCATGATGGTACAAAAATAGATTGACAATATTACATAGCGTACATAATTTCAGCCCATACACAGAAAAGACTATACGTAACTGAAAAAAGATAACGATGAATATCTAACGCGGCGATAATATAGACCGGTGTCCATCCTCCCACATGAACACAAAACATAAAGATCATATGTTTCAGTAGGTAAATATCACGATGACGAAGTCTTCTTCTTCCCGAATTGATAGTATGTGTTGAAACCATGTCTACTTGTGGTTGTATTCGACGAGTTGATAAACAAGCCAGATTGAATATTATACTGTTAACAATGAAAGATACTAATGATGGAAGAATAACAATCATTCCTATTCTGTAGTATGGCATCCATTGTGTTGTAACACAGAACTTAACGACAAAAAAAAAACAAAATAAACTTCATTTTTATCGAATTGAGAAAGTATAGTCTGGTCGGCTTGGTTCATAAATTCGTTATGATTCAAAAATAAAACTTTACACAATATGTTTATTTGATTAAAAGTGTAAAACATGGTAAAAATGTTCTGAATTTTTTTCATTGATTTTCTATCAAATAACATAGTCAACTTCTCCTCTTTAGATCGGTGGAGAATATTAAATGCTTACCGACAAATTTTTTGAAAACAACATTAATGATGCAATAAAACCCATTATCAATTGACTGATAATACAAACTGTTGCCCAAGAATTCTTTTTGAAAAAAATTCTTGCAGAAGAAATTACATACAACAATCGATTTATAGATACGACGACCAATGAAAATGACATTTGACAACTAAACATCATTCGTGCATAGAATATAAAAGTGCATATTCTATCACTAAATCGATATGTGATATAATATTGTAAGAATTTAAAATCGACAAGTCAATAGATACCAGCAAACATTGTCGTCGAGCATACGTTCAATATATAAATATGAATATGACGTCGAATGAGAACTATTATAATAGTATTAATTAATGCAAATAGAAGTACTATTGTGAGAATAATAATTTTGAAAAATTCAAGAATTGATAAGACTTGTATCATTACATGAATTTCATAAATACTTTAGCAAGTGTGATATATTAAATGTAGAAATATGATTTTTAAAAATTTTCAAACACTAGTAATACATTTAAACAAGACTATCTCAATTGTTATATTTTTGGTTGTAATTAAAATGGCAACGATTCTTGACATACTCGTGAAATAGTATGAAATAATAATGAAACTACTTGAATAAATAGAAGAAAATCTATTTTACTTTTCAGAGATAAGAAGATTAGAAATGCAGCCAAATGAATGAGAGATGCCTATTGTCACGTATTGATATTAATTAAGAAAGAAGGAAGTTGAAGACATAAGAAATGAAGAAATAATCGAGGTAATATCTCAGTTTGTTGAAAGAAAGAGAGACCTACATGAACAATTACACCTACGCACATATATTTATATCTTTATGTATATAAAGACACTCAAAACTATTCGTACATCTCATCTTTCATACAAGAAAAGGACATCAGTTTTACCAAATGAACAGCATTGAATTGGTTTTACATTCAACCTTTTTACTTACGTTTGAATCTTTCTATTGAGTATTCTCATGTTAAAAGCACAAGAGACATGATCAGTTTTTATTCTTTTCATTCTTCATAATCTCTTTCCATCAGATTCCATTTCAATAGCAATATTTGTTTTAACTCGTATTCGTCTTCGATGGTATAGGTTTTGTTTTCGTCAATCAAATTCAGATGTGCATATATGTAAATATTATGGAGAACGAAAGAAAGAATAGATGATTAGTCACTTCCAGATAACCATAAGCTATTTCACTAAAATGCTGACGAATTTTTATTCGATAATATCGTGAACCTCTGTGATTGAAAACAAGAAGAATCAACTGTTTGTCTCTTGTTTTTTTTTTGTTGCAGCTAAGTTTCCAACAGCAGACATATAATACGAAAAAAAAGAGTAGAGTTTTATTAGTGAATCGTTCTATCAATTTAGTCTGGGACAAGTGAATCAGTATCTAATGAAAGTTACTTTTGAGTGATGTCCGGCGGACGGATTAATTCAACTATTGTAAAATGTCTTCGTTGATCGTCTTTCAAAGTATGCAGCTTGACAATCTGGCTTCTCTTATCTTACATCGTGTAGTTTAGTATTGCTGAATTTCTTCTTTGATAAAAAAAGCCAACAGAACGAGTAAAGAGATGACATATCACACAGTGTTTGCGTTAGATTGCCAGCCATCTTACATACACGTCGTCAATGTGTTACCTTTCTTTTGCCTCCTTGATAGAATCAACGTGAATATCATACAAAAGGCTGATCGAGAGAAAGCAGTATTTTCGATATAGTGTGATCTCCACGATTGTTCCCTAGACCGATGAGCAGACTGTTGTTGCTATTGAAAACTAATCACAAAAGTCCCTTAAGTTTATCGCTAAAGGCTTCGTGAACAGTCGTCATGGATTCACAAACGTAAAATAACATTTACCGAGTAGTTCATAGGATGTTTAACCTTCATGTCTGACATAGTCGTTTTACTATTTTCTAGACTCAAATAACGATATAACATTAGCCTGTTGAATGGCAATAAGTCGAGTGGCATCCTTCAGAATTCCGATCAACACTCCTCTTAGTCGCATTTCAAGACAAAATGAATTCACTTTGTCTGTTCTATTTATGGCTCGATTGGTCCATCCTATGTTTTGGTCAAGATCAAAGTATTCTGAGATGATCATACAGGTAACAGTGTTGTTTTTTATATTTTCCTAAATTAACCCTACGATAGTAAGGAATATTCATAGTTGCAAATGCAAGATCTTCAATACGCAATACGTCCATCATTACACGAGAGTCTTAACTCGATCGTGTGTTTAGAATGCAAGAACTTAATTTAATCTAAGCAACTAGTCAAATTTGAGCTGTGATATAAAATACAGTCCTGTAGAACCACACGATATATATGTACGATATCGTAATACAAAATCGATGATTATCTCGATTAGTACATCGCAATAAACTGAGCACATGACACATCCAAAATGAATGTGAATGTACTCGACCACGGTCCTTATCCAGAATATCTTGTTCATAAAAGAATCGATCAAAGCAAATAGAAATTATGTACGGTTAACAGATTAAATACTTGCTGAATCCAAAAATATTATTGGAACCCTAATGGTCTTTATAGTGACTATGCAGTAGTGCAATTTCGTTATGCTTAAGTTCTTTCAACATTAGTTAGGTGTAAATACATTCCATACCGACAGTGGATCCTGTCTTTGCGCTCTTAATTCAAAAGCTTTTCTCATGCTATTCGTTGATAAGACAAGCTAGTTGTAGCGTTATTTTATGTCTCAACTCTGTTATTATCTAGACCAAACAACTCGGTCTATGTGGAGAGGATTAGATTCAAAATATAATTGTAATCGAAAACCAAAGGTTTTCATCATCATCAGATTTAAAAATAGGTGCTCTGAACAAGTAATTGACTGAAAACTAGTAGAATGTTTCTACAAAAGAGATCCTCCTAAAGTCAACTTGTGACAAAAATTTCAGTCTGTCATCATTTACCAGTCAAAAAGACTCCAATCAAGGTCTTTTCCTCAAATTCTTTCGATCAGTTCAGAATAAGCATTTATCGAACATTTGCTATTCTAATATCTGTTAAAACCAACCAAATCTACAACCAGCTAGTTGAGTAGGTTTTGTTGTAATTTGCATGAACGGATTGCTTAGTGTATGAGTAATTGATATTGATATTTTCTCATTAGCAGCGAAGTATGAGTACAAAAACACATACATCGTTTACTCGACTAAAGTACGACGATTGTATTGATGTCAACAATCAAACAGTCGAAATAGATCCTGTCGAACATATTCGTCGATGTACATTGTACAAAGATATTGATATTTGGTCATATTACAAATCAATCTATCCCAATGTTCGTACACTCGGTGATGTATTAGATCATGGTCAAACTCTTTCAAAAGACGGTCCATGTATAGGTCTTGTTCAATCGGAAAATAAGGCAGAACCTATTCGCTGGTTGTCTTATTCAACGGTATCAGAAAGAGCACGTTACATTGGATCTTATTTATGGACAGAAACAAAACTCGTTCCTATGAATTCGAAAGTAGCCATAATGTCAGTCAATAGACCAGAATATGCCATTATGGGATATGGTTGTTACATGTACGGTTTTATTGTGGTTGGTCTCTTCACAAGTTATGATCCAAGAAGAGTAATGGATTCACTGCGAAGGACTCAATCAGAAATACTGGTTGTCGATAATTTGGCACGCATTCGATCATTCGAAAAACAATTGTTCGAAAATGACCAAATCAAAGAGATTATTGTTATGGACGAAGTACAAGATGGTGAACATAGCAAAATCCGAAGTTTTTCATCCATTTTAAAGACGATGAACAAGGCCAATATACGTCCAAGACCAACCATTGATCCAAATAGTATTTCTACATTTCTTTTGACAAGCGGAACAACCGGTGAGAAATATAATTGCCCCTTTTTTTTTGCGAGTAGATCATGAAACTCAAAGGATAGAGTTAAGATGAAAAGTTATGTTCGCTTAACGGTCTAAACTCGTCTTGACTTTACAGACATATTGTGTGCAAAATTAATTACTCTTATCTAAAACATTGATGCGAATTCGATTCATGTCATCGATTTCGGAATTCTTCAGAAAATGTTAAGAAGTCCAATGCTAAATTTCAAGAACACTTTATTGAATGCTTTTATCTTGTGTCTAGCGACTTTCAAATTGTGTAGAGAAGCTATCTAACATCTGTTCTAGGTGACCCAAAAGTTGCTATGTTAACTCACGACAACTTCATGACAGGACTGAAGTCTATAGCTGATCGTGAAGAACGAGCCGGTATCTTGATGAACTTCAGAGATCGACATTGTTCGTTTTTGCCCATGGCTCATCTCTATGAACAGGCTGTATTATTACTTATGTTTGGTCATGGTTGCCAAGTAGTTTTTTGTCCAACTCCTGACAAACTCTTTGAATACTATGCATTAGTGAAGCCTACTCGTATGTATATGGTACCGCGCATTTTGAATAAGGTATACGATAAAGTCATGAGTGAAGTTGATAAAAGTAAAGTTAAACGATTTCTTGTCCGACAAGCATTGCACAAAGACGAATCGTCGTTTCTCTCACGTATTGTTTTTAGAAAAGTGAGACAACTTTTTGGTAATGAAGTGTCAGCAATGTTATCAGCATCGGCACCGATTTCACGGGATGTACTGCATTTTTTTCGTATTGCACTCGATATTCCCATCTATGAACTCTTTGGACAAACAGAATCGACTGGTGTAGGAACAACTACACACATAATTGACAAGTCATGCGGAACAGTTGGCACATCCCTGTGCACAGTTGAAATCAAATTAATCGATGTACCTGAAACGAATTATCGAAGTGAAAATAATCAAGGTGAAATCTGTATTCGTGGACCTAATGTTTTTAAAGGCAAGTTCTATTTTAGAGGGAGAGACTTTTCTGGTCTTTAAAGCTTCGGGTAGTTTACTGAGCTAATACTGTCAGATAATTCAAATTTGTCTTTTTTTTCAATGATTAATAGTTTATACAGAACTAGGTAAGATGGATCAATTGTTGACTAGTTGCATTACATCTACCAGCAAGATGTACTTCTAACTTTGAACTTTTGAAAATTTTTTGACTAGGTTATTATGATGATGCGATAAAAACACGGGAAACAATAGACGAAGCCGGTTGGTTACATACAGGTGATGTTGGTGAATGGACAGCTAATGGAACATTGCGCCTTATTGATCGTAGTAAACACATCTTTAAATTGAATCAAGGCGAATATATTGCACCTGAACATCTAGAAGATATCTATCTTCATTCTCGATGGATTTCTCAAATATTTATCGATGGTTGTTCAACAGAAGCAACAGTCGTGGCCATTGTTGTACCAGATGAAGAGTACGTACGAAAGAATTTTATTTTAACAGAGACAAAAACATTTGAAGAATTATGCAAAAGCGGTGAGTTAAAACAATTAATGATGATCGATTTGCTGCAATTGGCTAAAAAAAACAAATTGAAACATTTTGAAACAGTCAGCAATATTTATCTTCATCATGAGCCATTTTCGCAACAGAATGATCTAATCACAACAACATTCAAGACACGACGTGTAGTCGCGCGACAACGCTTCCAAACGATCATTAATTCACTTTACAATGTCAATGGAAAACAAAAATAAACAATATGTAAAAATGAACACTTTTCTTTTATAAACTTCGTCTAATTCAAATTGTGATTTCACATTACTTGTCGCTTATTTTGAACCTTGATTTTTTCAAAAAAGTAACACGTGTAAGAGATTTTAAACAAAAAAAAACAGATTAAATTTATAAAAATCTATCGATTCATTACTATGCATAATGCTTTGTTCAAATGTCCGAATGTTTATCAGATATGTTTGACCTACATTATTAAATAGTCGAGCAATATTACGTCTTGAGGTTCATTGTAAAAAAAACGTCATAACGAATGTCTTGTTGAAATAGCTGATTTGTACAACACACATCATGTTAATAATCGATAAAGAAATATAACTTCTATCGATTATTTTGTAAGTACACACTCAAATCACAAAAAACAAAACATTGGCTCACCAATAATCAATAATGTCATCTGATTATTTAATTAATATGAAAATCATTTTTTAAACATTTGATTCACTCATCACTATTTATTGTTGCGAATTGTTCGCGAGTTAATTTTTGCCTCTTCGTCGACTTTTGGATAACCAATTACAAAGTGTACTACCATTCAGAACTTTATCAGAATCAAAGAAGTTTTCCAATAACATTGTCATGTCTTTAGTTCTATTTTTGATATCCACTGTTTGGAAAATTTCTAAAGTTCGTAATTCAATTCATCTATCTGACGATCGTAATTTTCATCGCTATGGAATTATTTTGCTACTGAACCTTGATCAATTACTGATTTTATATTTCGAAATTTGATAATCTACATATGAATGTAAAAGTTTTATTTCGATCTGAGCTCCATAATTAAATACCCTTACCTATGTTTGTATATCAAACATCAAACTATTTTCACATTTGTAATTTAACAAGAAGTGAGTTTTATTTTTTACATCCTTATCCGTAGTTCTATTCTTGTACTGCTTGCTCTATTGTTTGTTTTTCCTTTCCAACGTTCAGCTAATCTCTTTACAAAGTATCAAACCGTTTGGAAAAGAAAGTGACTCAATAAAATGGCTAATTAGTGTTGTTTCTTGTAATTAAAATATAGATATATTGGAACCCTTGAAGTACACTTTTCTCTATCATAGAAAAAGATTTCTAAAATTCTAATTATATATTTAGAATCAGCTTTAAAAACGCTATCGTTCTGTATAACTTTATTTTTTCAAAACTCCTAATGTTAAACAAAAAAATCCGGAGAAAGTCATTCAAGAGTATATACTTACATCGAAAATGTACAAAATCTTGAGATTTCATTATCTCAAAAATAAAAAATATCCCATCGGCGAAACTTTCTCAAAAACTTGCTTATATATTGACCTTTCTTTTGATATCATCGTAATTTTAAAATTCTGTGTCTGAAGTCCCACTTTGTACTCATATATTCTCAAATGCCACGATATTGCACACAAATCCTGCTCGTATTTGGCGATTTTCATAATAAATAATTTATTTTTAGATAAAATACATATAATATTCGGAATCAGCATTAAAATCTGAGTAAAGTGACATGTGTTTTATTTAAAAATATTTCTCGTCAAAATTACACCCGTAACCCCTCCAGCGATTATTTTCAGAAAATTCGTCTGTGGACCCCCAGGGGTGTAATTTTGACGAGAAATATTTTTAAATAAAACACATGTCACTTTACTCAGATTTTAATGCTGATTCCGAATATTATATGTATTTTATCTAAAAATAAATTATTTATTATGAAAATCGCCAAATACGAGCAGGATTTGTGTGCAATATCGTGGCATTTGAGAATATATGAGTACAAAGTGGGACTTCGGACACAGAATTTTAAAATTACGATGATATCAAAAGAAAGGTCAATATATAAGCAAGTTTTTGAGAAAGTTTCGCCGATGGGATATTTTTTATTTTTGAGATAATGAAATCTCAAGATTTTGTACATTTTCGATGTAAGTATATACTCTTGAATGGCTTTCTCCGGATTTTTTTGTTTAACATTAGGAGTTTTGAAAAAATAAAGTTATACAGAACGATAGCGTTTTTAAAGCTGATTCTAAATATATAATTAGAATTTTAGAAATCTTTTTCTATGATACCCATGTAAAAGTGAAACGCAGACTAGATGCGTTCAAACGCGTTTTAAACGCGTGCAGACGCGGCAATGTTAAGAAACATGAGCAAAACGCGTTCAGTCGCGTCTTAGAGATGCATCTGGATGCGTTTAGATTGGTGGACCCATCTAGACGCATCTAAAATACAAACGCGTTTCTCGATTTTAAAAGTGAAACTGCAGTTAAACGCATTTGCAGTAATGACTGCGTTCAAGCGCGTTCAAGGGACGCATCTGGACGCGTTGAAATTCATGATGCATATGGACGCATCCAAATTAGAAACGCGTTTCACGACTTTAAAGGTAAAAACGCAACGAAACGCGTTTGTAGAAACGATTGCGTTCACCCGCGTTTTAGAAACGCAGTTGGATGCGTTTGAATCGTCCATTGCATGAAGACGCATCTAGAAATGCTCCTCATAATTGTAAACGACAAATGATATTAAACATCTCTGCGTTTATATGATCACTTGTATTCACGTCTTAAATGCAAGACAGTAATGGTTTTTATAACACTTGTTAAGTGTAAAAGTGAATTTTAAAAAAATATAATCAATTGAAACAAACTGCTGCATGTAATTTGCACGAAGTGGCAAGTGATTTTAGTGTAGAAAAATAATGCTTAAATGGTAGCGATAATTCTTTTTTGAAAAAATTTCCACTAACATTCAATGTTAGAAAAAAGAAATCATTTTTGATTTTTCTCGATTTTCTGACGAGAAAAACACTCATATATATAGTCTCTTTCATGAAATAATTGCTGCACTAACGTATACTTAGTTGAATTATTATATAGGAACAGGAAAGTACATGTAAGATTAATATTTCACATAATCTTTGGTATTTTTAATAAAGATAAATTTTTTTCTTGTTTTGAATATGAAAATTGCTTATTTGAGAAAACTTCTTTTTCGTTTCATAGGAACTATGCATGCATGAATTTTTATAGCATAAATTTAGAATTACATGCTTTCGAACGGTTACTCAAAGATATTAAGTAATGACTATTGGACAAGAGCTTTTTAAGACAAGGTTCTTATCCAAAGTTCTATTGATTGATTTTTTTGCATAAAATCGAAAGCTTTAATATTGAAAAGTGCCTTTAAGAATATATCTCTGATAATGTTATTGATGCAAGACTTTCAATAGATTTGCATCGTTGCCTAATCTAAAAATTTGCACGAAAAAATTCAATCTTAATTGATTCTGAGGTTAATTTCGGTGACAAAGAATAAGCGATCATAAGACACAAAGAAATAAAATTATTTTATTCATTGTTCTTTCTTAATGGACGAACTGCTATCATGTCTTATGACTAAAGATAAAAGAATATCTAGACATTAGATATCTAAAAAACAGTCACGCCACGAGTTGTTTAAGCTAAGAAAACATTATTCATGAATGTCTATAGATACATACAGCATATTTGAAGCACATAAATATTTTTTATGCAATATTGTATGGGATACATGTAACAATATATTTGCTAATGAATACTATGAAAACGAAAAATCGTTATGTCACGAAATAAATAATGAGCATAATACACATTATTACGTTTATTTTTATTTCTCTAACCAATACTTTATGCATTGTCCTTTAGAAAAAGCTTTCATTTCTGTTTCTGATTACTAAAATTCGTTTACAATTGCACCTACACGTGTTTAAAGATTTATCTAATTCATCAACAAAGCATATAATAAAAACATTCTTAGGGTTTTACGTAGTTCTGTGTAAAGGGAAAATATGAAACCTGAATATTCTGTTTCTTCTACAGATCCTTAAACAAGAAAAAGAATACACGAATAGATACAGGTATTCTTCGTTTTCCAATTATTGCAGAAGAAATTGAAAATTGACTATTAGACTTTACAAATCAAATCAAAAGAAAAAACAATGAAATTATAACAAAAAATAATTAAGCCGAGAGTATTATGAAACTGAAAAACATAAATTACAACCTAATAATGTCAACATATAACTATATGAGTTATGCATGAATATGAAAATATTATATATATATTCAATATATATTGGTATAACTTTAAGATTGGCCAAAGCTGATATAAGATCCAGCTGAGCCAAAGCAATAATCACCAAGCCAGGTTATGATATGAAAGTTATCAAATCAATAAAATATATAACTGTTCAAGCTTTTGTTCTAATTTTTTTTTGCATGAAATATACATGAATTACACGAATTTTTTACACTGACCTTTGTTCTTTGAGATTATAGATAAAACTATAAGAGTGCTACCTAAGTTTTGGGATGCTGATTATAATTATATTTGAGTAGAAAAAAAAAGCATAATTTGTTTAACTAAACGTGATTTTATTGATCTTATGAAATAAAAATATAGATTCACGCTTATTACTGCGAGCCAGCTCAATTTTATGTCGACTTTGGTCAATACTTAATTTCTCTAATATATATTAATCATACGTAATATTTTCATATTTAGCTATTATTAATCTTGCTGTAGTTGACAACATTATATGGTATTTGATATCATTTCAAATTATAATATTTTCGTTTTAATTGTTTTTGGTTACTTTCATTTGTCTCTTTTTTCTTAATTAGATTTGTGATGAAAGTCAACTATAATAGTACAATTATAAATTTTTTGTTGGTCTACTAAGAAATTAAAAGTGTCTTTTTTGCTCTTATTTCTTTTTTCTTCTATAAACATACGCAAACTAAGTAAAATATATACGTATTATATTATTTTAATGATACTATATAAATCTCAATGAATACCATGTATTATTGAAGACAACGAATATTATGTATATGAGGAGGAAAGGAAACGTCGTTTTTTTAGACTTTTTATCCAAACTCATAATACAAATCGATGAATATTGTTGTAAATTGGCTCGATCTTATGTCTTTAGATGTTATTGACGTGCTCTTATTTCACACTGACAATAAATAAGTTTATTAGAATATTGAGCCATATTTTGTTTAACATTAAATAGAATGTGTTAAGTTGAGTTCTATATTATTATACTTCGAAATATGAAGGTTATATTTTAAATTGTAATAGTTTATTATATTTTTTTTCGTCTTACATGAAATATGATGAGACTTATTTTTATCTTTAAGTTTTGTTAAGTCACTCGGATGATGATCCAAGTCTGAAATTCTGATAAAATTTTTCTTTTATTTATCCATCTTTTTTTAAATGTATAAATACAAGCGAGCTGAATAATTGTGGACATTTGGTTTTTTAAACTTCTTTCTGATTTTATTTCATTTATTGATAAGAGAACAAAATTTACAACTCCTGCCAAAGTTTAACTAATGAACGGAAAACCAAACTAGTTCATAATAAATTGATTTTTTTTCTATGATAAATTGTTTCGAAGAAATATATATACTGAGTTACAAAATAAAATTTCAGTTTTGCATAATTGAAACAAAAGATTTATTTTTTTTTTTTATTTAAAAAATGCCAGAAAACCAAAAATAATTGCATATTTTTATAATCAACTGAATTCTGCCTTAGAAATAAGTGTTATTAGAAACAATTACAAAGATATCTTCGTCGAGAATACACTCTTACGAGCAAATATAGCTCACATGTAAGTAGCTTGTTCTTTAATAAGTTCATCTGTTCTAGCCTGCTTCATCGCACTTATCATCTACGTGTCGAAAATTAAAAATAACTTGTTCTGTACTATGCCTCTAGGATAGAGCTGACCATCAAGTGGTTCTGATGGTGCCGCAGTTCGAATCTGCGAGAACAAGAACTTTTTTTTTCTGAAATTTTTTGAAACGCGTCTGGACGAGTTCTCATTTCTGAGCGCGTTCACGCGCGTCTAGTCCAACAGATGCGTTCCAACGCATCAGATGTTTCACCTGATGTCTAGATGCGTTTGAATGCGTTCGGATTTTTTAACGCGTTTGAACGCGTCAGATGTTTCATTGCTCGTGTAGACGCGCTTAGACGCGTTTTTGAAACGCGTCCAGATGCATCTGACAGACGCGTTCAGACGCATCAGATGTTTCATTTTAGATGCGTTCAGACGCGTTCTTATAGCGTTTCAAACGCATCTAAAACGCGCTTGAAAACGCGTTTAGACCCTATAAATTTTTACATGGGTAGAGAAAAGTGTACTTCAAGGGTTCCAATATATCTATATTTTACTTAATGATCTGAACGTAAAGATCTAGGCCTATCTCCATAAGTAAGAGTTCATTTGAAAAAACTGAAATGAATAAATGTGAGGGAAGGTCGAAGGTAAAAAATAATAATATTAAAATACGATCTTAGCGGGGTGGCAGATTTCGACTCTTATCGTGCGGGGTCCTTTACGGTTTTCTATTATTCTATTGTAATTTATAATGTATCAAATTAATAAACTGTGAAATAAATCATACATTTACCGGCATATGATGATTTATAAAAAGGAAAAGCATCATAATATTGTTTGTATATGGACACTGGAATTAATCTATTATCTTTCCTTAGTTTTATTTTAAGTTTGATCATATCTGAATTTTATCATATAGAACGATGAAGAACGACAAACAAAAAATCTAACATCAATATTACGCCCCTACAAACATCATAAGTACAATGTAGCATCAACAACAACAATTAAACAGCTTCGATCATTTCATCAGAATCCATAGAAATTTAACAGTTCATTTTAGAACTTAAACTTCACAACTCCTTAGTTTTTCTTATAAAAAAATATCCCATTTAACTTATCTATTATATTACTATTAATAATAAATCTTTTCTTTGGTTTAAATACAAGATTGGATATCCTCAATGAACACTATTTCATCGAAACTAGTTACCGCAGCTTAGTCTCAGAATGAATAGAATGGATTGGCTCAAGGGTCAAACGACTCGTAGCCACGAGGGCTTACCAGAATTTCGCCAATAAGACTTTCGCCAACTGGACATTCGCCAATGGCGAAAGTCCAGTGGGACATTGGCGAAATTCCAGTGGACTCTCACCAATTGAAAAAAGTTTGATGGACTTTTAGCATTTGTCACAGAAGAATATAATTGTTGAATATGAGTGAGGAGGATGGATATCAGTATATATCTGGGTGTTGTCTATTAATCTACATGTTACACTGTTGAATGCACATCAGACTCTCGCCAATTGGCGAAAGTTACCAGGGCATATTGGCGAAAGTACAGTGGACTCTCGCCAATTGGCGAAAGTCATCGGGGTATATTGGCGAAAGTACACTGGACTTTCGCCATTGGCGAATGTCCTGTTGGCGAAAGTCTTATTGGCGAAATTCGGGAATCCCGCCACGAGCATTAATTGTTATAATAACAAAATTTATCTGTTGATATCTAGTGTCTCACAATATATTCGTTGAATGACCAACAGTTACGAAGAACAGACAGAATATGATCGGTGAGAGTGTATCTATACTTCTGTAACACCCTTACCCCTTCGATTGAAAACAAATTTTAGCGGTAATCTATGCTGTATAGGTGGAGTTGCAACGATAATGTATCAGTTCTTATTCTTGGCTGCCGTTTTTATTCGTTGACGTAACGTTCTATGATTTAAAAGTTGATGCCGAAAAAATAATTTTTCTTTAACTTAAATAATCATGAATGTGACGAATACAAATTCTTAGCTTTACATTTTATTAATTGCTAAGCAGTTTTTCTTTTTTTGGTCTCTGTTGCAATAGTTGTTCACATTTCAGGATAGAATATTTCCTTGATCTGAAATTTGAACTTGTATTTGAACAAAAGTTTATTTACAAAGTGTGAAAAGAATGGCTAGACAATGATTTTTCATTAACATATACAGTCGGAAGTGACCATAAAAATAACTAGATAGAGTCGAAGTTTAGCGTTTGTTTAAGCCAATCGTTAATATTTAGAGATAATTTATTTGGTTTGTATCTTTTTGTTTCAAGCAAAAATTAAAATGTTTTAAAATAAAATTAAAAATGATTTTTTCTGCTCGCTTATGAAAATTGGTAACCAACACTAATCAACAGCCTTTGAAACAACACCAACTAGGATCATTCATTGTAGAATAACTGCATCCACCCCAGGGAGAACAGTATCCTATAGGAAAACCAGAATTACAACCATAAGGAAATTTTCCAAAACATTTTCCATCACAAAAATCTGATACAGGTGCTACCGTAACTGTTATAGGTGAATCTGTTGGTGTATTTGTCAAAACTGGTGGGTTTGTGACAGATGATTCTTGATTACAACCTTTGAAGCAACACCAATTTGGATCAGTAGTAATAGAATAAGTACATCCACCTCCTGCGTTGCAATATCCATATTGAAAACCGGAATTACAACCATATGGATATTGACCTTGGCATTTACCATCACAGTGAGCTGTTATAGGGGCTGCCGTAACAGGTGCATTTGTGATAGAACTTGTTTCACCTGTTGAACATTTAATTCCTGATATGGCTCCAGGTTTATGAATTCTTTGTGTTCCTGTTTTTAAAAAGCAATTATACGACCAAAAAACCCATGAATTACAGGCTGCATTCGCATTGCAGGCAGCACAGCAAGCTTTTGGATCTGATGTTTGAATAACTCCAAACTGTCCACCGGTAATATCACTATCCGCGTAAAAATAACATCCGTTAAAGCACATGGGCACTGGATCTGGAACTGGAAGTGGCGGCGTTGTTGTATCACATCTATCACCATACCAACCATCGATACAAACACATGGTTTATTTGTAACAGGCAAATCTCCTCCAAGATATTGAGCAGCACAATTACCGTTGATGCATCTAGCAGCAGCACACGTGTCAATATTACAATTTGAACCAGAAAATCCAGGATTGCACAAACATTCTCCTGTCGCACAATCACAATATCCATTTGTACAACCATTTGGGCATTTGTCAGGACAATGCTCAACATTACTTAATTTTGGTTGAGATCTACAATCAATGGATGGCATGGCAGGAAAAGATGTGCAAGCTCCTCTTCCTTTTACTGTCAGATAATTATCTCCAGACCAAATGTACCTTAAGAAAAAAATTATTCAAAAAAAAACATAATTTGTAGAAAAATTGCCTTCGATCATGCTGAGAATGAACTGGATATGGACAGATTCTACCGGCAACAACTAGATCAATTTCATCTCTCTTCCAACGATTTCCAAAAACAGGATCAGAAAATTCAATAATCCAATCAGAAGACACATCTCCTCCACCAGTCATTGACAATTTGTATTTGTGATCCAAACCAGGAACAACAGTGGCACTATAACCTTGTTTTCTGTCTCCAATTTGAAAAAATTTCAAAGTAACTGAACTTATGAGATTATCGAATTGCCAAAGTTCTAACTGCATCGTTTGATGATTTGCAGGATTTTGATTAAATGAGAATATCTAAAATATTTGAAGAGAATATAGAAAAATAATCCTATGAACTTTTCAAAAAATTGATAGTACCTCAAGTCGACGAACAGGTCTTTTGCAGAAAATAGCTCCTAAAATTAGAATTAAATAAGTTTAAAAATTAAATTACCAATAAACAAGATAGTTTTAAATATTTTTATTTTTTCAACATACCACCATCATATTTTCTCGCAAATTTAACAGAATCTTGTCCTAAAAGATTAGCAACATCATTCGAACTAAAACAAGATGCACCATTATCCAATGCTAAAAGATAGGTCCTTAAACAAAGATTAAATAAATTAAAAACTTCTTTGAAAGAAAAGAGAAACAAAGTCTTACCAATATGGATTGACTATAGAGCAAAATCCAGCTGGAAATAATTTATTTCCATTTAAGTTTTTTTCATCATCAGGTCCAAGTGTGAACATGGCTCCATTATTTGGTCCCCACTGTAAGAGTGAAGATTGATCAGATATAACACCAGTCCATTTCATATTGACAAACACATAAGTTGGCATACAAAGTACTTTAGATGAGATTTCATATTACAAAATTAATTGCAAAGGTAAAAAGAAAAGAACCATCAGTTACCTCCAGTTACTCCAATATTGCAATGATGACTTGACTCAAAGTGAACTTGGTTATTGAAGATCATATTTTCCAAAATAAACGTTCCATGACCACCAGGCAAAGCCAAATTGCCTGAGTCATAAAACGAATCAGCAATATGAGAGGAACAACCGTCTTGAAAATTTTTTGTTTCTTTCCAGTAAATCAAATTGTTATTATTAATACTTGTATGAAATCGATACTGTAAATCACCAGCATTATATTGGCCTACAAATACATTGTCATAATCTATATTATGCATAAATGTCGCTGGTAATCCGTTATCTTCACCACTTGTAGTCCATTCTTGACATGTACTTAAAGTTGGTAAACCATTTTTATCAATCGATCTGTCGGTTGTTTTTGGGAACACACTTGCAAGTACATATGTACCAAATCGTCCACAACCGTGAAAAGTGTTTCCTTCTAACCTTCCAATTTGTTGAAAACTGAGGCATTCTAAACCACTCACATGACCTCGACCATCACCGAATCCTTGCTCTTGATACAACATGCCATTATAATTATTAGCAAAACGATTTCCAATAGCATAGTTAGTAAAACTTAAACCCCATAAACCAGCTTGATTTAATGTAGTATCTGCTTGATCATTGTCTGTGCCTTTAAAAACAAAAAAATTAAAAAATAAAATTATGAAATTTTTCAAATTTAAAACTCACCTGGTATAGTGCATCCTCTTTTTTCTCCGGATTTTGCCCAAGGACATATTCCAACATTATAAAATATTCTATTATACATTTCATTTCCATCTTCAACATATATTATTGCACCACGAATGTCATTGTAAACATTATTCTCTATAGTTGCCAAATGTGTTCCATGAATAGTAGTACCTCTTTGATGACCATACTCAAAAGCATTGCCAATAATTTTGCACTCAGGGCATTTACTAAGTAAATGTAAATGTACACAGTATTTTCCTAAAATACCACGTTGACCACACTTCTCAATTCTTGTGTATTGTAAAGATAGAACAGAACCGGTCCCAATCGCAACTGTATGCAATCCAAGGGTGCATTGATTTCGATTAATATTTTTCCAACATGAACAGTGATCGGCTTGAATACGATCGGGTGGTCTGCCGTCGGCCACGTCGTTCACACAATGAACATGCTGAAAATCGTCTCCGGTAATTACAATATTACGTGAAAGGTTAATGACTTCAGCTTGTATAAGAGCAGACATATTTTCACCTGTAAACAGGGCTTTTGACTCAAAAACTGACGATATAAAACCAATAGAAGTTCCGTCTTTATTAAGCAATTTTATAGTATTATCAGCATCGAATCCTTCAATCGTGAAATCTTCAGCATTCCCGCTTGAGCCTGACATAGTTGGAGCTATAACAATTCTATCACCAACTCTCCAGCCCTAAAGTACAATAAACGTTTACAGTACAATGAACAACATCGAGAAATTCTACACTAACCATATCTTCAGGTTTGTGTAAGAGACTAATTGAACTCATACCATATGTGGCTCTATCAGCTAGTAAAGACCACGTTCTAGCAAGATAGCGACCACTAACATGTATTTTACCGGCGTTATAGGAACCAAAGGCACGAGTATGAACCGCCGGATGGTTGAGACCATTATTTTTAATGTAAATATAACCTTGTTTACTCGTTAGATTCATGTCGAATTGGCCTCCGTCGACCTACAGAAAAAAATATATTCAATTTCTCAATTTTTCTGGTGAAATTATAAAGCAAACATCTTACAGCAATGTAACCAGCACACAACCATTGATCACTCGAAGATTGGCTAAGGTCATTCCAAACTAGCGAACCACTCAAAACTAAAGCAGCAACATTTAAATTACTATTCATTGTAACTGTAAAGCCAGCTGGTATGGTGCATATGGTCTCAGTACCACAAAATATTTGTAAATCAGATGATAACATTGAATTTGTTATTAATTTAACTGTTGCTTTCGTAGCTTGATTCTGATTCTGACATGTGCGTGCTAAATCTTGAGGAAGCGGTGCTGAATAAGAATCTTTTATTAAAGTGCTAAAAGCATCAATGTATGCCACTTCGTCTTGTTGAGAAAAAGCTTCAAAGACATTATTTGTTTGCACTAAACATTGCGAAATAAAAAACAGTTTCAAAATAATTGATGTTAACACTATATAAATATATTTATTCATCTAAAATTTGAAAATAATATAATATGCATATGAATGAATGCTACATGCTTTTACGTGTATACAAATTTTTTATGCATCAAGTATGAAAATTTAATTAAAAATATTAAAATATAATTGTACAACTATTTGCTTCTAATAAATGTTAGGATTTTAAATGTATTTATTTACAAGTAATGCATCAATCATCAGACCTTGCTTCGCTCAATCCTCAAAGCAGAATATAAAAGAAGTAAGTTGTTGTTTTTCGATAGACTAAACAAACGCACAGGTGGTACGAATTATATGTACTGTCTTGTTAATACTTTCGATAAGAGAATCTAATACTGCCTGAATCATCCTGATAAACAGTGGCTCGTCTGAAACAACAAAGAAGCTCGTCGTTGGTCGTCATTAGCGTCCTTTGAGACGCCATTCCCGACTCCTCATCCCTGCATTTTTGATTTTCTTTTTTTTGTAGACTATACACTTGACTGCATCATGGATTCGATCGCGTGCAATTCTGATTGATACAGTGGTATTTGTCTCTTTAGCAAAATTTGTTCGTTTCCTTTACAAAAGTGCACTGCGCAGATAGTAAATCTAGATTCAAAAAGTAATTTCCGTATCAATTTGTTACTTTGAATTATCTGTATTCAAGCATAGTTCGTCGATTTTTCAATTGTCAGTGTTACTGTTCATCTATTTCTCCAATTTCTCAGTTTACAAAGTTCATATTCACATGATTGCGAATAGTGTTTCAGATCACATACAATAAGAACAAAAAACAATATTGCTCAGGTCATAGGAAAGAGGATCTCCACAAGCTACCTGACCGATTAAGACAGTATTATGTTTTGCCCTTATAATACTCAAAAGAACTATTTCTGAAAATCTGATTGGTCGACACGAAAAGGAGCGATGCTTCACTATTATTCATACAGAACCTGGTGTTGTTCGGACCATTTAAAAGATAACCCATAGAAATCCCCATATTGGCGCGAACAGTATTATGTTTCGTGTAGATAATAGCCGTGACCATCCTTGCTGAAATCTGATTGGTCCAATTCTCAACCAATCAAAATGTGGATAAACGGACCAGCAATTTCTATTCTGCATGCTCATTCTTTCAGGGCTGAGAAAAACGAAATGTAGCTTAGCACATATAATTTGAATATCGTGTGCGTATGATAAACATTTATTTTTTGCCTTTATGTATCCACAGTCGAAAAAACCCGCTTTTCTGGGAACCCATTGTAGTTTTTGAGAGGATTTTCGAATTTTTAAACGGATCTCCAAAATACCTTATTGGTTGTTGAGACTTCAGAAACCTTAAGGTTTCCAAGAATATAGTCTTCGACACTAGTGAGATATTCTAGAATACTTTTTTCTATAGTTGGAAATCCAATCGATATTTCCGAAAATCGTAAAAATATTCACAGAAACCAATATCGCTAGAGGGCATGATTCAAAACCAAAATGGGTATGGTGAAATACCTTTTCGGTTTCTGCGTTGCTTCCTGGGGAACCTAGATGAGTTTCCAATTTTCGTTCGACAAATTGCAAACATTATGCGATGTTCAGAAAACTTTAGAATCCTCCGGAACAAAAACTTACTAAGGATCAATATACTTTTCCAAAAAACCTATTCGGCGTTCGACTTTCCTATTTTTAGGATAATTTTGAAACTTGAGAATTTGTTTTGTCGCATTTTTACTGTTAAACTAAAACCAGGATCATCAACATCAATAATTTCAAAATTTTTGCCGAAAATTCTGGTGCACTAACTTGAACATTTTTTAATACTATATTCATAAAGTGTTTAACTCTTGTATTATCAATTTGTTCTCCAAATATTAATTATTCTGTAAAAGATACTCAGATACCATATGGTGATTCACCACCCTAGAGAATATACTGAGTTAAGGGTACCCAAAAAAGTACCCTGATACCAGTATGTCACAGGAACTTTTGGGTACCAAAGTACTTGCAGGTACTTACAGGTACCTAAGTGGTACTTTGGCAAGTACCCTGCTGGAAAATGCACAGTAATTGGGTACCTAAAGGTACTGATCAAGTACTGAATTGGGTACCATTGTATAGTATTTCTAAGTACCCTATTACCAAATTTTCAGTATGTTCAGGATCGAACCTGATCTTTGACTTTTTAAAATTTTTTCTTTTTCTTGAGATAATTTGCTAGATTTTTTTTACTTTATTCAATTTAATTTTTTCAATTCCAAAAATTTAGCAGGAACAATGTCGGGATTCGACTCAACCTGAGTTGGTCGTAGACCACTTCAGGGTAGTCTGATCTTAATTTACGACCAAGCTCGGCATTTCCTCGACTAAGAAATAGTCAAGAAATAATTTAGAAAAAACTAGTATGAAAATTGATTATTTTCTTATGATTTATCGAGTTGTTTATATAGAGCCGTACGTAAAAAAGAAAACGGTGAATGAATAGTCGCCACACAGAACGCGAAAAATTTAGGATACCCTGTCGAGATTTCCTCAGTAAAGTCACAGACTTGTGTATCCATACAGGTACTTATTCAGTAAATGTACTTTTACGGGTACCCCAAACAGTACATACATCAGTAAAATTACTGAGAATTTTCAAAGTACCCATATTGGGTACCCTGCTAGAGCTTTCTCAGTACATGGGTACCCTGAACTCAGTACTTTCTCTAGGGCATTCATTAGTAATATAAATGGATGTGTGATAATTGGATTGTAACATTCATCATGTAGTGAATTAATATAAGATTTATTTGTATATAATGGTTGTTCATGAGATAAATTGAGGCCGTTGTAGTCGAGATGAATGAAGAATACGTGGAAAAAAATGATGGATTAGGAGCTTTTATTGATATAGGTACAAGTACAGCAACACTTATAACAATACCCAACTGTTACGGAAAAAGTTAGAATTCGAAGATAAATCACAGTTGTGATGATAATTTAAGTTGTAAGAATAGCTGAAATAGAGACACTCATTTGACTAGATTTTTACAGAGCACTTTTATTTGATGAGGATTAATTCAATATATCTGATATCTTCAAACGCAATAGTTTGGTAAATCACAGAAAATTGAGTTTTTTTAATTAAAATAAGACAATAGAAAGATCGAAAACAAAAGCAATCTGATACTTTTTTATTATATTAATGCTACGAAAACACAAGGTTCTTTTAATAGGTGCTGCTCGAAGTAGACAAAGAGAGGGAGAGAGAAGAGTAAAGATATTTTTATCGATTATGATTTATTTTAATAGAGGATTGTTGAAAATTTCTTTCTATCTCTTGTTCGCAGCAGATGAATATCGAGTGGACTGATTTTGAGAATACTGCAGTCTACAATTACGCACGTACTTTTGTTGATCGAGTGTATTGTGATAGCTCGATACTTACAATTCCTACGTACAAATGACTCTTTTTTTGCTTTTTTTGTCTGTCGTATTTTAACTTGTTGTCATATATAGATTTTCAGAGACAGACGAACTCGAAGCAGAAATCGAAGCTTTAAAATGTAATAACAATCAAATACATACTATCAATTGATGATATGGATGCTCAATCAAAGCGAGTATGTTACGAAACGTATTAATCTTTTTTTTTGACTATTTGTACTATTCTTTCGAAAAGATGATTCTTGCAATGAACTGGATGATGACAGTAATGGATCGAGTGAAAATGTCATCACAACGACCACCACTATTCGTTCTTCCAACAAGTTCCGAAGCTTGAAACAAAAAACAATTCATTCACAAATGAAATATAATTATTCATTTACTGTGTATACTACTATTTAATAGATAACTCGTGACATAGAATATAGAAAAGGTTTCAATGCTTGAAACTATTTGATGCATTTTCCATAATCGATGGTTCTTTACAATACGTGACTGTTCCTTACTAAAACTGAGCTAACTTTCCACTAATTTGCCCAAGTGCACTAAAAATTTGGGTTTGGACGTTTTAGATGATGCTGAACAATATGAAAAGATCAACTCAAGAAACTTTTTTGACGAATGCCTCGATATCTGGCATGATACTCGATGATCTCATGGGATCTCTCTTAAGAGATTTTTGAATCAAAGTGTAGTATACAATCATATGGTATTTTATACAACTTCGATAATATCATTTTTGTTGAAGAATGTAGAAAGCAGTTACTAAATAAATGCGGAAACTTCGGATTTAAATCCGAGAGTTATGTGTACTTCAAAAAGTGAATCATACAAATCAATCATTCTAGACTGTCTGAATATCAAAATTATACTGTGAAATCTACCATTTAAAATGTTGATTTCTATTGCGCGTTGCCAAACCAATAGGACATGGGCAGAATACAGCTCAAGTTTGAACTCTTTCCCTTGATTTACCCTAAGAAAGTCGTTTTTCCTATAACTTCATTTCTATTGGTCACTGCGCAACTAATAGTATTTCGATGGAAGTGCAGTACACATTCGAGTTCTCCATATCTGAAAACCTCGAAGTATCATCAGTGTGACCGGAAGATAAAGCTCTATTTGTGGATCAATTAGATCGTGGACCAAAATATAACCTAGTTCTCTTTAATTGTCCTTGTCATTGGTAAGTCAACCTTCTTGTTTTTTTATGTTTTATATATCATTTCGTAGTTCTTGAAATTCTCTATCGAATGGTATATAATAGTTGGGGTTTTAATTGACTATGATAGGAAAAGTCTTTTACGAAAGTCGCGATGGGTCCATTTTTCCACAGAAAGCTATAGGGAAAAATGGGTATTTTTGCAATAACTCAGGAACAGCTCGGCCGATCCTTCTCATCTTCGAACTCGACCGAGACATTGTCAAGACTAAGCTGTGTAGAAAGTTTCATCGCAATCTGACTCTGCTGTCAAAATTTATCATGTAAACAGCCAACCGGACGGACGGACACACTGACTATTCTATAGTGTACTCACTTTTTGAGTACACAAAACTATGATTCAGTTCAAAACTAATATCAGATTCAGAATCAGCGTTAAAAACTGAGTCGA